GATATCGGTGTCTCAACAAGTTCTAGATTGTTCGAAATCACTATTTGATAATTGTTATTTTATTTATTCAAACATATTTAGATAAAAATAAAGAGAATACAAGAAATTCATGATTGCAGCAAATGAACTCATCATTGCAATGAAATGTTTTGATTATCACCACCAACCTTATGAAAACAAGGTCTAATAAAAGAATGCATGAGAAATACCCTTCCCTATGCAAAATATTGTAATTTTGTCGTGGAATGTATCGTACCTGGGGTACTATAGTCCGCGCTATACGGTAGATTTACTAATAAATTTTCAAAAAATCTAAATGAATCCATCGTGATGATATATTGCACTCTGCGTCTTTTTATATAAGCTTGGTAGAAATTCAGCGATATATGCTTGTGTTTTTTTTTACGCTTACTTTTTATATACGTATTCATTTATTGCTACAGATTTTCGTGTCGCGTCGCACTAATAAGGGAATAAGGGCTACATTGAAATAGTAATAAAAAACCTAAATCTGGTCATGTTGTTAGCATTCTGACCGATTAACATACTTTCGTTCTAGGCAAGTGAATACCAAATAATACACCTGAATTCAAGTCTGAAACAGGAGGAATTATGATTCAAAATATCGAAGACAAATCTATAAAGTCAAAGGATCATTTTCTCCGGACCATGCCTTCTTTAATCGAGACAAAAAAATGTCATAGAAGGTATTGAAGGTGAAGGAAAAGATGCCAAATCGGTAAAATTTTAAAATTCGACTGCGAATTAAAGAGAGTCGACTGTATTTCGATTTTGGTTAGAGTTAATAGACGCGAGCGTACATGTAAAATTTCGCTAGAGCATAGAAAGTATTTTCATTTTGAAATACAAGCTTTTTTTCAAAAATAGCGGAATTTTTCTGTCGCACATTTTGATTGGTTTACCTCTTTAAAAGTCACATAAATGCATTAATAATCGTAACGTAGCAGCTTGGTTTCGATTTTTATAATGTTCTCGTCATTTCGTCATGTGAAGTTTCCTCGATCAACAGCCTTTTCTTTCCCTAAGCTACTTTCCACAAAAATTAAGATTAAGGCCAAATCAGCATTAGATTTTGGAGAGGAAGAGGTTAATTATTGAATGTGAGCTTCCAGCCAGGTTAGTAATTATAGAAAAGTATTGTTTGTGAGGTACTTAGTTTTACTAAAGCTTGTACTCTATCAAAATCAGAAATAATCCGCAATACAGACTAGTCATTGATGAAAAACCAAGCAAATCTTCAATTTGTGATTGCTAATCGAAACTTAACTATGGAACTATGGTGGCTATAGAGGTTTGAGTATTGAATTTTTTACTGTATAATGAAATGTCAAAGATATTTTTAACAGGATAAACATATAAAAGACATTTATCAATCAAGCCTGTGGAATTCACATAGATGTTTTTTTGCTTTACTAGACAAATTCATTTTATTAATTTGTATATATGTGTTGTTTGATTTGACAAAAAGTATATTTAGTAATATTAAATTTGTTTAAATTTGAAAAATAATTATTTCATATATGCCAAATTGAAAGTTATTAATTATTGATATTAGTCATGAGATTTTATTCTTGCCCATATATTTTTATTAATGGATGTATTTGTGAAAAAATTGCTATTATCAAGAAGAATGTGCTCTTTATTAGAAAATTTGACTGCATACTTCATGTGGCAAATGTGATATATCAACTATCTTCTCATATGATATGTATATAAAATATTCTGGAAAATATCATAGAAGAGCTAATTATCACCAAAAAAAGCAGACTGAATTATGTGAAAAACTTATTATATTTGAGAATAATATATCTAACTTATCTAATGGATTAGAAGTATAAGATTAAGAAAATATCTGAATTATTATTATGAAAAAATTTCAATTATTTTGCATGAAGAATTCTTTATACTGATCACTTGGATAAGATATGTGCTTAATATATATTAATAATTTTTTCTAGAATTTCTTTAAGTAAAGCTATATTCTTCTTGATATCTTCTATATTTTGGTTATTCTATTTTATAAAGCCATAAATTTCAAGACTTTTAATTAATTTCATATTTTACTTAAGTCTATTTTCTGATATAATTACTCTAATTATGATCTATTTATTTTTTAAGTATATATATACCAATCTGGAATAATTAATTTTGATTTAAAAAAAAACTTTATAATATATATTAATCTATATAAAATATCTTAAATATCTTTACTAATTATAACAAAAATTACTATATTATTTGTAAATTATTATAAATTAACTTCTCAAGATAGTCTATCTCAGCTTAGTAGTTATATTGAATAATTGAATAGTAACTTTCAGATAATAAAACAAAAAAATAAGTATAAAAAGCCAGAGATCAGGCCAGAAAATGCTTTTAATAGCTAGAACTTAATAAAGAATAATCATAAAAAGCCAGAGATCAGGTCAGAAAATACTTTTAATAACTAGAACTTAGCAAAAAATAAGTAAATATTCTCATTTTTATTTAAATATCTGAAAGATATATCATGAAAAGAAATTCTATCAAAATTATTGCACAAAATATTATAAAAATAATCTCTTATCTGAAGAGATTAATAAAATAATATATGACTTGGCTTCTTTTACTTTTACTACTATTGCAGAAAATTCTTATCTTAATTTATTATAAAAAGAATTATGTAAATTTGAGACTTTATTTATCATTATCAAAATAATAAAAATATTTTTTTACTATTAAAAAAGTAAATCAAATCCAAGCAAAAAAATATATACTTCATGAAATCTGAAATTTTGATTAGTCTGAATAGAAAATATTCAGAAAAAACTTAGTAAATATGATATTACTAAATCTTTTTCTATACAAAATTTAATAGATATAATTATAATACTATATATGTAATCAGCAAATATAGAAACTCTTAATATTAATTGATATAGATTAAATTATAAGTTATGATATAATTCTAATTATTCTTGATATTATACTGAATATGCAAAAAATAAAGATGAAGTAAATGAATTCTGACTATTTTTTTTAATAGAAAAAACTGATATGGGCAAGAAAATTATTTGTCTGAATTCAAAAAGTCATATCAGATAAATTTTTCTTACTAAGAGATAAGAATGAGAATATTAATATTATCTCACTTAATTAATTCCTAAGTTATTATAAAATTATCTTATTTATATTAAGAAAAATGAGAACTGATCATGCTTCTAGAAATATGAAACTAAGAATGATTCTCACTATTAATATTTATAATAATTGGCATATAGATATAAGATAAATCAATTATTCCAACACCTAGATCAATCATTTTTATGATTAAACAAGAATATAATGAAGTTATAAATATTATTGATTTATATAAAAAAATTTCTAATAATGATAACTAATAATGCTTCTTTTACTTTTATCATATTCACAATAAAATCTTTATCATCATTAGATAATTCAGAGCCAGATCCAGGTGAAGATGAAGAATCATTTAAAAAAGTCTTATTAACTTTGCATCATCTTTTAGCCATACATGGAATGTGCTAGTGTCAAGAAATATCTGAATTTGCTATCAAGTTGATAATATCCTGCTGAATCACGAATTTCACTATCTTCAATAATTGGTGAAGAGGAATTAAAATTTTTTTATCCGATACTAACAATACTGGATACAGCTCTATTAGCATTTTGAGATTCGTGAATATCCCATTAATTTTCATTCTCAAATTCTTTAGCTATAGTTGAGAAGTCAGCACACGAATCAATAGTAGCTTTAGTCATTGTTGATGTCATAAAATTATTTATGTGACTTGACACTAGCTTCACTATTAATACGAAGTAAAAAATACATTATTAAATATATAGTTATAATAAAGCATCACAATAATAACTTTATCCTGCGAAATTAATAAAGCACCAGTTACGGCTATATTAGATTCTGGAATATTATAGGTAATAAGGTAGTAAATGGGATAGGTTTGAAAATCGATGATATATTCGATGCAGAAATATACAATCTCATTAGCAGGCTCGATGTAATAGGAGTAATTCGTGAAATAGAAATTTCAATCCTGTCTCAAGGCCCTAAATGGAAGCAAGTAAAAGCTACTGATGTTTTCATTAGTAATAAACCCGAACTTAAATTTGTACTTATACTATGTCAGTCATGGTTTCAGGAAAATGTGATGAAAGTGGATTTCCCCAATAAAACTCTTACATTACTTGATGGGACCGATATACCATTAGTTATTGGACCAGGAATTTCACCACCTACACAACTTAACCAGTTCGTGGATGATTATTTCAAGATGATAAAGGTATATGTTACAACATTGGGCGTTTATTTAAATAATCAAGACCTTAAGGGAACTTTCTTCAATGGCCTATTACGAGAAAATAAAAAAGAGGTAGTTAGATTAGACCTCTAAATCAAATAGTCGAGCATCTAAATAGAATCTCATCCGATATGGTAAAGGATACTACTTTATTGGTATTGATCGATTCGGTAAATTTTCATGATTTGTGTCACATCACAGGTGGGATATCAGTATAGAAGTTCGTGGAACACACGTAATTGTGTAATGTAGATAATCGTTATTTTTTTCGCTTTATTTTATATAGGAAAATGTCTTTCTACTACATATGCTTTTGCGATAAGAACATGCGAAAATGAGATAAGAAAAGCCTACAAAAGGTAAGAGCTCAACAATATCTGTTAATTTTAATATCAAAAACCCCAAGTTATGGAGAGTTGAGAGATTGCAAAGATCGTTATTGCGTTAACCAACTTCCGTCTTGCAGGAGCGATCTCGAACCTAAAGGGATCTCATTCCCTAAAAATTGCGTAATATGTTTATGCGTCTCTTCTTTGTTGAGTTCTTGGCATTTATGGACTAGCTACACAAGGTAAGGAATCCGTCAAATATCGAAATCATACGACTGCACCCTAACAGATGACTGAATGACGCAATATTGTTTTTCTTCCAGCGAGTTCTAAGATGGGTGAGCGAAGTATTATAAATAAGCGAGTTGGTTGCGACTTTACTTTTAGAATTTTGATTCTCAGCTCCACAAGCCTGCGCAATTTTAGAGAACTTTATGCTTCACGTCGAATCAGGTATGTAACCCAGAACAAAGACATCCGTATTAATCTTACTATGCATTATATATTTACTATGACTCTCATATTTAGGGAACGCATAATGACAGACAATATTAGCCTTAACTTCCGAATTCACGGTAACACAAATTATGAAGAAATTTTTGTAATCGAGAAAAAAAGGTCGATATGCTCAAACCGTTAGTAAAGAAACGATTGGCATCCCTAACGAACGGCATTCCTTCGACTCAAATCAATCTTCAAACAATGGATGAAATGAGAATGAAAGCAATGACAAAGATTTCTAAATATCTCAACGAGAATATCAATGAAGATGAAATTCATGTTTTAGTACACCTCTGAATTCTTATTTGTATTCATACGATAGTGCAATCATAACACCAGAATCGGTGCCCTGTATGTGTCACAAGTATTGTGTGACCGACCTATTTTTCACATATACCCATGTCTGCCGGTTTATCGTTTTTCTTGTGTACCATTCCGCAGTCTACCAATAACATTCCGCCAAAAAATCATATATAAATCAAAATGTCTATTATGTTTAGTCAAAGGAAACTTACTAGCGAATGCTTTCCCTGTCGATATTGATAGGAACCAGCTCGTTGGTTTTCTCAAAAAAGCCATCAAAGCGGAGCAACCGCAAACTTTCGCTGGTATTGACGCCAAAGACATCAAGTTATGGAAGGTGGAAATTCCTGACGAACGCGATTCCGAGTTAGCGGATCCCGCATTGCAAGACGAACTTCTAGCAACGAAAAAGATTTCGAAATACTTCCCCTCCCCACCTGCCGAAGAATGTATTCATGTCATAGTCGAGCCACCAGTGCCAACCGCCACTTCGGGCCGTGAGCAGGAACTTTTGGATCGGTTAGCATCGCTCGAGAACAACCACAGAGTATTTACGATTAAAGCTTCTTACGGGAAGCAACGCAAGACTTTCTCGTGGCCGGTTGATATCAGTACAGTGACCCTCGATACTATGAAGTTATCCATCAGCAACGCAAGACTTTCTCGTGGCCGGTTGATATCAGTACAGTGACCCTCGATACTATGAAGTTATCCATCCTCAAAGTCCTCCCTTTTCCGCAGGATACAAAGCCTGACGATTTAACCCTACGTTTCGCCAAAGCTGATGAAAAGAATTGTGAAGAGTTAGGTTTGGAAGACGATGCCACATTTCGGCAATATCTCAAGTCTTGTGCCGTGCAGGCGTTCTTCACTCTCAAAGTACAAATCGATACTGTGCAAAAACCATTCTCCGATTGGAAACTCGATAAGGTATGCGAACTCCTTGGCCTGGCGTCAGGTAAGGAGAGAAAGTGCAGAAAAAAAAAAGCTTAAACGAATTCAAAAATCATATTTTATATAGAACGAAAGGGGAATTGACACCTTGCGGTCCAACAGGAAAAACAGTATTCCTAGACAAGTTTCAACCGATACCAATTATTACGGTTTACGATGCTTGGTGTCTCCTTTGGAGTTACGCGCATCGGCCCTCAAAGAAGATGACAGTAGAGGAGCAAATCAAATATCTATACGAGAGTCAAGAACGCTTAGCACAGAGTATAACGATAGTACAGCCAGATCTAATATTGCGTCCGGCAACAGTCAACCTCACATACTCAAATCAAGTATCGAAACGGAAAGGCAAAGATGTGAAATTCATGATGGGTTCGTCGATTCGTTGCCATCCAACAGTGAGAATGGAGGTAGTAAATACAAGGACGGAGAAAATACAGATATTAAGTTGGGCAAAGAACGTGAAGGATGTCCTAACACTGGAATAATTGGAAGAATGCAGGCATCCTTTGGGAAACTGCTCAGAATCGGTTCCCTGGGAGGCGATGGTTGGAAAAAGATTGTCCCCGGGAAAACGTGTCGCCTTGTACACGCGGACTATCGCTTTACCAGTAAAGGAAAATCAATTACCGAAAATCCTACAACCATGTCTCAAGTGCAATTATGTGAAGGAAAAAATGGAAGAACGTCGCGTTGCAACGATTCGCTCATCTTAGTTGATGCATTTAAAGATAATTCTCGTATTGTAACCTTGGTTAATTATGAAGTTCTTGATAGTGATCCTAAAGAACTAATTTATCATATAAGATGTGTTGCTAATTTCGGCTTTGATCATATAATTATTATCGGGGAGACAAAGTATGGAATGATCTTTTAGACTGTTATGGTCGTGTTTTTTTATGGGAAAATGAGAGTCAAACGTTATGGCCACTTGGTGATTCTCCCGAAAAAGCATCGAAACGCATAGTTAAAGGGGTAGATCAGTTGTGTTGGTTTGAAGATAATGGAACTGTATATGAGCAGATTACGAAATGGGAAGATTATTATTAGCTACTTATTTTAGTACAGCTAACAAGCGCGTTTAAGATAATAATATAGCTTTGAATAATAACAAAATCAATTTGCAATAACTGCATTCCTGCAAAACATGATTTCAGATGTTTTGACCAAGGCTTGATTGCAATCAGTAATATAGAAACGTTAACATGTATCCCAGGCTAAAGCCTATCTATTTCCCAGTGGCAGTATGATTCCATTCTAACACAGGGCAATGTTGGGATCCCTCTGGGAATCGAATTATTGCAATAGATTTCTCAGCCGGAGATCTCAGATTGAAGATTCCGAGAATTGGATATGATGAAGGGGATTGTAGTGTTGTCGGATTCGTTTTGAGATCGATCACCTGAAATGCGCAGTACGATATCGGGAAAATTCTTGCCGAAGAATAGGAGCTGTGCGACGTACGATTAGCACATTTTTAATTTTTGGTGTGTCACGTCTCCCGCCCTTCTATCAATAAAACAATATTCGAATATGTATATTTTTTTGACAATCAATCATCATTTCGTATATGGAATTTGGGGATGCATATTCTTATCCTTCGTCATTTTTATTGATTTGCAAGGGGGGTGAACTATGCTTCCCGCAACTCTAGATTATCGTTCCACTTCGTCCAGGACAAGTTGTTGCATTTTCTTCCCGTCTTCTACTCCATGGAAATTTTCCCGTAACTCGAGGGATCCGGCACAGTATCGTTTATTTCGTTCATAGTATGTTCTTCCACCACCTGCGCAATTTTACCGAGATTTACAAAGATCGAAAGGATGGAATTGAGCGAGATGTGAATGGATTGGTTGTTCCTATAATCCCTCAACAAGACCTAAACGATGCTCATGGATTAAATCGCCAGGTTAGACTCGACAAATCGAAAGCCAATCAGATTTGAGTTCCACCGTCATCCACTAATTGTAGGAGAGGGTATATCGGTAGGTATTTCACTGCGCGATGTTGTCTTATACCTGAGATAAAAATGTTATTAATAAAATCGATTATTTTTCTTTAGACTTGAGACGAGCGCGATGGGGTTTAAAGGCCGAGGATCCTCTTTCTGATGGGATATAATTCGATACTTATATAGCGAAAATAATTATATAGAGTTAGCGGTTTTAAAATGTAAATATATCAGAGATCACTGGTTAAATAAAGATTTTCGTGTAAGCCCATCAGGGGCGAGTGCATCTATGTGCTTCCCAATCCATTTTGGTTAGATTTATTTTTATGATTTGCATTGCCTTATTTAGGGATGCGTTAAAGTGTGGTACCCATGTGACCTGACACGGGATAATGTGGCTGATATTCATTCCGGAAGGCAATCCGCCACCGTAGTCGGAGATCCATTTTCCGAGTGTGTATGATAAATATCAAATCAATCTTTTTGCTTTACACCGACTCGTGCGTACCTACAAAATTACTTGCAATATTACTTGCAATGTCTTGAAAGAACTATTTCTTTGTAATGCTGCTGGCGGCATGTTCTTGGTGGTCAGATTTTCAATGTAAAAAGCGTAATGTGTTAGGCAAAGTATTTTTTTTAATGTTTTAATGTTGAACAAAGTATTTTTTTGCTCTAACAAACTAGATTCATTTATTGTTGGTTATTCATGACAATCAGTATGAGGAATGTTTTCTTGAAAATAAAGGGATAGTGAGTTTGCAATTAATAGTACTTGCTTAATCATTTTTATATAGTGAGCACAACACTCTTCAAGATAACATCTCGTTATAATAATACAAAATCTCTTCTCCTGACCACATTATTGTATCCAGCGCCCACTGTACTTTGATTTTGGTGTTTGGATAACCTCACAACTTCAAATCGAAAAAAAGTACATTCTCCTTTTTAATCGACTCAAAATCTGCAAAGAGCCCAAGAAGACTCAATCTGAATTTAATAATGACTTAATATTATTGTAAAAAAATCATTATTATAAAAAAATCACTTAATATTATAATAAAACCAATTAAAATATAATAATAAATATATTAATTTAAAACTGATTCTAAACTTATTTTCAATTTTTCCATAAATAAAATTGTTTGATCAATGTTTCTCTCTTTCTCAACTCGTCAATATGCATCTCTTGTTCTTTTCATCAATTTATTTATGATCCGTCATCAATTTTCGGCCATTCTCTCACTTTCGGTTTTAGATATCACCACCTCTTCTAACTCGTGATGTCCATATATCTCAAACCTATTCTCTTTAAACATTTACTGAAAATTTTTCCAAATACTAGTTGTTAATAATTTCCTGGCTCCATATATGTACTCGTGGAAGATGTATTGACAGGACAATTAATATTTATGAAAGAATAGGCAATAGCAATCAGGTGACATTAAACCAGGTACCACTTTGCCATGTTCTATCCTCTTTTCAATAGCATAAGCTTCATTAACAATTATTTGTTGAATGGGGAAAGGGAACTTGTGAATTTCATCAAGAATTTCACAGTCAATATCAGTAATGGAAATCTTCCTTATACAAAATCTAAAGGCAGTGTACTTGGAATCTGAACGCTTCTTCACATCAAGTAAAATAACATGATAGCATGCACCTAGAAAAATTTATTAGAATTAGTTTGATAGCGTAAATAAAAAAACTAGCAACATGTTCACGTAATGAATGAAGAATAGTATCACGATCGCTAGCAGCATAATCCAATTGCTAACTTGCAAAAAGTTTCTTGCTGATAGAATTATTTTTTAAAACTTCAGAAATACGATCACATAACGAATAATAATCAGATTGTGTAATAAACAAAGAAGAGTAGTAACGTGATCATATAATCAATAGAGAAGATTAGCAATGTGATCACGTAACTAATGGATAAGACTAGTAATGTGACTGCATAACCAATAGAGAAGACTAATAACCCGATTATATAATAAACAAAGTAGTAATGCAACCACGTAATCAATAAAAAAGACTAGTAATATGACCATGTAATAAATGGATATTAGTAACTAGAGCTTATCACGAATTCAATTCGATACTTTTTTATAATCGAATTCAAATTCATTTGAATTCATGATAAGCTCTCTACTAACAATACAATCATGTAATAAATAAAAACTAGCAATTAGATTGAGTAATAAAATGCAGAGTATAAAGAAATTTATATCATACTAACTAGACCATGGTGAGGAGAGGTTGTTTTTTTTAATTTACTATAGAAGGACTCCAAGATATTTGTTAAAATTACTTGTAAAAGGAGAGGAGAATACTGATAGGCCCAAAGAGCCTATTGGTGTGTGTTCTGCGCATAGTTTCTTAAAATGTACTGCTGAACAATGAGGACTAGACAATTATTGATTGCTTGTTGGATAAACTCATTACAATCAATTTTTGTTATTTTATGTATTGCTTGATTCATTTTGTCTCAAGTTTTTACATGATAGATTTTACTCATTCAAGTCCACATAACATGAACAGTACAAAAAAGAACATCATATTCTTGCTTATTTTTTTGAATATCTGGAAAAGCGATTGTGATGCTATTGGCTTCCACATTATTTTGGTCTGCAAGGAAATATCAAGATTTCCAGCAGCAAGCAAATCGCTGAATAATTATTAGAGCTTCCACTACCATATTACTAGTTTCATTACTTACAAAAAAATGCCCACCCACATTTCAACATCCAGATCCATCATGAATATATAGTGTAAATAAATACCAGTCATATTTGTTGGTTTTGTGAGTGAAATCAATAAGTGTTAGCCACCCATATTTTTGAAGCTTTTGAAGTTGATCTGGATTCGCAAAAATGAGACCTCAAGTAGATTGTTGAATTATTTGATATTGTTTAATTTGATATCCCTTATTTGCCAGTAAAAAAACTGCTTCATTTATATTAAATTTTATATTAATGCCATCAATAAAATAAGAATTTTGACTTCAGTTAACTTGATATTTTATATTGGCGATCTCCCTTCTCCTCAATTCTCCTATATTAGAACCAAGATCCAATTTCTCAGTCACATATTCTTTAACAGCACTTACGATTTCTGATGGGGAATAATTTTTTACAGCCTCATTTTCAATTAAGATATGAACAGCCTGTAATCACTTTAATCTTTCACTGTCATCTATAATATATGCGTGATTAGAAGAATCTTGATATTATTTGATCTATATTTTCTGTTCAGCCACAAACTGAGATATCTTGATTTTTGCAAAACAGAGATTTTCTGGCTAAATTGCTGATTTTCTATATTTTTCACTCAGTATCTCTTCTTTTTGGGTACTTGATTATTTAGATTTGTTAAAGTGACAAATAAATGTTTTCCAAGAGTCATCATTAGTATGATATTTGTAGTTGAATTGAGTTCAAAAATTCAAGATGAGAGGCCACCATTCATTATTAAATTTAGCTAGCAGAATTTCGAGTGGTTCATTAATATTAAAGAGAAGGATGCGCTTTTAATTAGGAGTTAAAGTTACGAAGTCCATTTTTATATACATAGTTCATTATTAAATATGTTTTTAGTTTTTTGAGAGCGTATTTTTAGATTTTTGAGAACACGTTTTTTTTATTTTTGATCAAGAGATTTATACGTGGTTTACACGTATTCAAATTATAACAAACATGATAATGAGAAATATAATGCAATGAGTAAAAAAAGAAGTTTTATAGTAAATAAAAAAAAGTAAATTTTATAATGAGTAAAATGGTATAGTGAATAATTAACAAGAAATAAATTTAGTAAAATAATATTTGTGAATAACTAACAATAAATAAATCTAGTTTGTTAGAGCAAAAAAATACTTTGTTCAACATTAAAATATTAAAAAAAATACTTTGCCCAACACATTACACTTTTTACATTAAAAATCTGATCACCAAGAACATGCCACCAGCAGCATTACAAAAAAATAGTTCTTTCAAGATATTACAAGTAACATTGCAAGTAATTTTATAGATACGTATGAGTCAGTGTAAAGCAAAAAGATTGATTTGATATTTATCATACACACTCAGAAAATAGATCT